GCCAATATTAAGTGAGTTTTTCCTTAAAACAAGCTAAATAATCTGCCAATGGGGTAAGCAAAATAATCTTATGTCAAAAGAAGAAACAAGATTAATTTGCTTACCCCATTGGCAGATTATTTTGCTTGTTTTAAGGAAAAACTGACTTAATATTGGCTTAATATTTCTCAAAACAAGGCAATATGTTTTGCTTGTCTAAAAAATGCTTCTTGATATAAGAAATTTTAGATATTTAGACTAGAAACAAGACAAAAAATCTAAGCAAGAAAAGCATTTTTTGCAGTGTGGAACAGCGAGCAGTTTATTACTTATTATGGTAAGGTGTACAAATCTGTACAAGATAATAATTACTGTATAACATGGATTTGTAGTTTCAACCAGGTTTAGAGTTGTAGAAGTCCGTTTTAGCCCAGCAGACATTCAGCCTAGATCAGTGGTTCTCAAACTTTTTTCCTCAAGTACCACCTCAGAAAAAAAATGGTCTCTCCAAGTACCACCAAAATGAGCTGTATTGAAATACAATAGCGCAGTAGGCCCAGTAAAGCAGCTACACCTCTGCACAGTTAAAAAATGTGGTAGATTACCTCAGAAATAAAGGCTATGTTATATTTGGCATATTATATAGATAATTTTTGATAATTTTTTTTATTGTGTGTAGCATGTACATGACATATTTCATTCCTCCGGGTACCACTAGAAGGAAGCCTGCGTACCACTAGTGGTACACGTACCACAGTTTGAGAACCACTGGCCTAGATCCATTAAAACCACACACACACACACACACACACACACACACACACACACACACACACACACACACACACACACACACAGCTCAACAGGAAACAGATGAGCCACACACACATTTACATTCTATGTGAATTATTTTCTGATAAGTTGGTCTAACACAAAATCTGCAGTTTTAAAACCTCTGGAATTATTATATAAACAAGCACTTACAATTTTAGATATAAAAAATGTTTAGTTTTAATCACTGTAGCCTACTATAAAAAACTTATTTAGTCAAACTTGTTTTTCTTTTAAAGCATCACATCAGTGGAATATGATACCGCAATCTGTTAGAGAACGTGAATGTTTTAAGTCATTTATATGTATAACTTTAGGAAATGGCTTCTTACTAATCAACATAGCCCACATAGCAAAATTTCTCTGGCCCAGCTCTGGCCCACGCTATCAGGTTTTGCTTGGCCCACATGCCGCAGTGAATTACGGTACATGACTGGACCAAATGTGGCTTCCAGACAAGGGCCAAACACGGACCATATCTGGGCCAAGTCTCAGCCAAGTTAATAACTCATAACTGGGCCTGAACTGGGTCAGATAGGTTGGTGTGTCACGATTGCAATGAAATTGATAAACCCATGGAGTGCTGCGCTTTAGGCACACTATGGGCACGCTTTTTCTCAAAGTGACCTGATTGGTAGAATTTTTTTTCTTTACTCAAAAATGATTTTAGTGTATTTTAAATGTGGGTCAAGACTGGCCAAACTCACATGGCCCACTTATCAAATTTTTAAATCTGGGCCAAATACTACGTTTTTCATCTGGCCCAAATCTTGTGTGCCGCCTTAAAGATGGTGCCACCTCTGCCAAACCCGGGCCATGTTTGGCCCACATGCTGTATGCCAGTGCCGGATGAATGCCTGCTGTGCCAGCTTTTTGCCAAATCTGGGCCAGAATTCTTTGCTACTAGGGAGTGAACACTGGGCTTTTTAATGTTGTGGATGTTTTATATTGTTTATTTAAGTATTATTTTGATATTAAGGGACTACCAACAAAAACGAGTCTTTGGGCTAATTTGTGTACATTCACATTCTTGTTGATTAATGTACAATCTGTCCCTTGTTGTGAAAAATAAATAAACGTAAAAAATATACACACACAACCTCAAAGATGAACTGACCAATCAGCCGTAGTGCAGATATCTACTTTATAATGTTTAAATATGTTCCGTGTTCATATTTACATATATTTACATGTCCTGTGATAAGGGTTATTGCACCAGCAGGATATTCAAAAGGTCAAATTTGAATTGTACCAGTCGCTTTTTAAAACTGTTTGTAAAAGTTGCACATGTAAATATTCCTAATAAAACTAGCATAAAAATGCACACGCGGTTAGTGAGCAACTGTCTGTCAAACACCTAGAACACTTTAGCAACAACATAGCAACATGCTCGATCACCTAGATCTCCTCGTAACAAATCAACCACTGTATTCCCAATGGATAACAACTCTCTGGCAACCACCTGGAGCACCCTAGCTACCATACTATATCACAAATCCTTGCAACCACATAGAAGACATCATTTTTATATGTATATTGTAGTGCTTGTTATAATCGATGTATCTGTGCTTCATTATTTTGTAAAAACTAATTTGATCTAATACTTTAATCAAATATCATAACCTTCTCTCTTACCTCAAATGTTTTTGTTCACTTCTGATCGTATGATCTACCTTTTAGGGCGGGACTATCAGTCCTTTACGGTGGGGCTATCAGGGTAGGACTATCAGTCCTTTTGGCTAGGGCTATCAGTCATTTAGGGCGGGACTATCAGTCCTTTAGGGTGGGGCTATCAGGGTAGGACTATCAGTCATTTAGGGTGGGACTATCAGTCATTTAGGGCGGGACTATCAGTCCTTAAGGGTGGGGCTATCAGGGTAGGACTATCAGTCATTTAGGGCGGGACTATCAGTCCTTTAGGGTGGGGCTATCAGGGTAGGACTATCAGTCATTTAGGGTGGGGCTATCAGTCATTTAGGGCGGGACAATCAGTCCTTTAGGGTGGGGCTATCAGGGTAGGACTATCAGTCATTTAGGGTGGGACTATCAGTCATTTAGGGTGGGACTATCAGTCCTTTAGGGTGGGGCTATCAGGGTAGGACTATCAGTCATTTAGGGTGGGACTATCAGTCATTTAGGGCGGGACTATCAGTCCTTAAGGGTGGGGCTATCAGGGTAGGACTATCAGTCATTTAGGGTAGGACTATCAGTCATTTAGGGTGGGACTATCAGTCATTTAGGGTGGGACTATCAGTCATTTAGGGCGGGACTATCAGTCCTTAAGGGTAGAACTATCAGTCATTTAGGGTGGGACTAATAGTCATTTAGGATGGGATTATCAGTACTTTAGGGTGGGGCTATCAGGGTGGAGCTATTAGTCATTAAAGACAGGACTATCATTCATTTAGGGTGGGACTATCAGTCATTTAGGGCGGGACTATCAGTCCTTTAGGGCGGGACTATCAGTCAATTTAGGGCAGGACTCTCAGTCATTTAGCGATGGACTATCAGTCCTCTAGGGCGGGACCATCAGTCCCCTAGGGCGGGACAATCAGTCAATTAGGGCGGGACTATCAGTCATTTAGGGTGGAACTATCAGTCCTTTAGGGCCGGGTTATCAGTCCTTTAGGGTGGGGCTATTAGTCCTTTTAAGCAGGACTATTAATCCTTTAGGGCGGGACTATCAGTCATTTAGGGCAGGACTATCAGTTCTTTAGGGCAGGACTATCAGTTCTTTAGGGCAGGACTATCAGTTGTTTAGGCCAGGGCTATCAGTGCTTTAGGTTGGGATTATCAGTTCTTTAGGGCGGGACTATCAATCCTTAAGGGTGGGACTATCAGTCATTTAGGGTGGGGCTGTCAGTCCTTTTTGTTTGAAGTGGTTTGTTTAAATGTGATACGATTAAAATTTAGTTACTTGTTCTCATCGTCATCTGAAAACATTCTGCATAGATGTTGCTGACAGTAACAGTAACCCTCCCCAAAAGGCATTCATCCTGCTTTTTTTTTTGTTAGCAATGCCCATCTTCCAATGATCCAATTGGTTCCCAAAGGAAAAAATCACACATCGCCGTACTACTTTTTTTCTACAATTTTTTCTACTAGTTTCAACTGGATGTACATCATTATAGAGGGAAAATGACAATCTTATCTTCAATTTCATGGCAACTTTGAAGACACAGTTCACCCAAAAATGAAAATTTCCAATTAATTTACTCACAGGTCATCCAGGATGTAGGTGACTTGTAGGTTTGTTGCTTTAATGGCGAATGCACTGAGATGGGAGGCCAGGTAATGCAATCTGTTGATAGATTTTGGTGATTGCATCACTCGAGCATTCGTAAAAAAGGACTGCAACAGACTACAGTCACACATGAAAATTTCAGATTTTGGTAAACTATCCCTTTAAGCAACAGCCTATAACACCCTAGCTATATAGTAAAAGCGAAGCAACTTTATATGAACGTGTCGCTTTTGAGTGTGCTAGGAGATGAAAATAAGTCTATGAACTGAATACAGTGAACAGAATGTTAAAAAGTGAACATCAAAGCAGAGCCTCATTCTTCAAAGAAGAGTTTATTTCTAACACACTGGTTTGACTGAGCGCTGAGCTGTGGGCATCATTCACACAGGCCATGAACTCAGATCAGATCTGCCTCTGCCTCCTGTAATTACTCTCATGGGAGAACAGAAGAGAAAGAAACACAGCACATCTGTGCAATTATCTGTCATATCAGTGGTTTCACTAAACATTCAGCAGATCCAGGGGTTAAACCACGGCTCTGCGGCATTTACAGAAACCTGCGTCTGCTTCACTTGTGCTGCCGTTTGAAGAAAGTTTGTAGCTTGTGGTTAAACTGCTAAAACTGCCAGTTTTCTGGTTAATATTTAAACATGCAAAGTCTGTCTCTGTCAGCAGGATAGTGCCCATGTGCGTAAGTTAACATATCTTAAAAAATTAAGAAATAGATCACAAATCCCAAATGATATAGCTAATACTTCTGAAATCTGAGAAAAAAAAAAACTCTTCTACTTTGAATTAAACAATAGAATGGCACAGAAACTTAAGGGGATTTAGGACC